AAAAAAAAAAAAAAAAAAAAAAAAAAAAAAAAAGTGCGCTAACAGGCTTGAATGTACTAGATTAAGAAAGCTCTTAGATATTTATAAACATTTTGCATACCAATTATTTTTATTATTCGAGTTGTTTATAAGTAGAGAGATTATAAGGCATTTTCTTTTATTATTTAGATGTGTGACACATCTTTTAACTTCTCATTTTGTAACTTAGCAACCAAGACCAATTAATGTGTATCAAAATATAAGTGTATTTGTGAATATATTTAAGAGATATATGTAACTATATATATGTAGATATATTATTGTTTTTAATATTTCAGTAATGTCTTGCCATTTCTTAAAATATTAACTTTCTTGAAAACATGCAGTTCACCTTTTTTCTTCTGAAATATTAGAATTGTATATTTATATATACAATATAAATGGGTAATATATTATCTTAGAAAACAATTACTAAAATAATTATTTTAAAATTAAAATTCATTTTTTGAGATGAAGAACTCTGTCGAAAATATTTCATGCACAAAAGGAAAAAAGTCATAAAGCTCTTAAGCAAAGAGAGAAATATGTGGAATAGTACAACTATTATATTACATTTTTTTGTATAATGTTTAACTAATCATGTCATGATAACAATCAAAAGCTGAAATGTATGGTGCTCTAATATATTGTTGTGACACAATTTGTTCTCTCTTACTAGGATTAGCTAAATGCATTTATGTGAACCTTCTCTTTTTTTTTTTTTTTTTTTTCAAAGAAAGAAAGAAGAAAAGTAGATGTTTAGAAGGCTTCTAACTTTCTGGGATGTCAAATGCCACCATATTGAAATAAACCATCAAACAAGGAATAAAATATCATTTCACATCCATTCAGATGGCTACAATCAAAATCAAAATAAAATGATGATTGTACAAGGATGTGCAGGAATTAGACTCTTCCTATATTACTTGTAAACATGAAGTATGGCAAATATTTTGGGAAATAGTATGGCAGGTCCACAATTGATTAACCTAAGTTGTCTCATTGTGCAGAACTTCTAACTCCTAAATATACATTCACTAGTGATGAATACATATTTCTATGAAAAAGCTTTGGCACTAATATCCATAGCAACATTATATACTGTCACCAAAATTTGGGGAAAAATAAAGGTATACATCAACTGATGAATGTGTGAGTAAAATGTGTTTCATGAAATAAAATATACTTCAATATAATGAAATGCTAACCATGTATGAATGTTGAAAAACATCATCCTTCTAAGTCAATAAAGAGTGACACAAAGAATTACCTACCATATAATTTTATTTACATATAATGTGAGGAGCAGATATATCTATTGAGTGAGAAAGTGAATGAGTTGTTTCCTAAGACTGACAAGATATGAAAATTGGAGGATAGGGCTAAAGGCTGCAGGGGGCACTTTAAGAGGCAATTATAATTATATTAAATGGATTTGTTGCAGTAGACACATGTATCTATAAATCCACTGAATGTTGTTTACCTATTTTCTCTAAAAGTGCAAATTTCATACTCTAACAAATATATCTTATCAAAGGTAATTTGATAAGCCAAGCTAAAACAAAACTCTTTCACTGTATACTCTCATCCAATAACTATTTAAGTTTAGTTGCAATTCTTATACAAAAGTGAATTACACCTATTTTCAAATTTTGGAAGGTTAAGGTTAATTTCTTATGAAATGACTCCCCTTTGATAGAAAATCTATATTATTAGCAATTCCTATAGTACACTCATTTGCCATGCTGGCCGCACTCCCAGGCTCACTGAGAGAGACATTGAAACTGGGCATGGTGGTGAGCACCCAGAATCCCAGTGTTTGGGAGGCTGAAAACAGGAGAACCACTACAACTCCAGTGTATGTTGCGAGACCCTGTACACCCTGTAGACCCTGTCCTAAATGCATTGAAAAGAAAAGAACACAATCTGAGATAGTTGTTCGAGTGCAGATAATTATTCTGTGTCCAGTTTCTTGAAGTGGACACCAGATATTCAGAGTATTGAAAACAGCTTAGAAACTGAACTGCCAACAAATACAGCAGTGTGTGACAGATGTGTAAAAATTTAATATAGAGCAAACCAA